TACTCAGATGTGGGCCTACGACTCCAAAAGCTGGGCAAGCCAGAAGAAATGACTTTCATCGCCTACAGCGATGCAGCATTTGCTTCACGAGCCGACCTGACTTCGCAAGGAGGTCACCTGGTGATGATGACGCACCACTCAGTGACAACAAGCTCAGAAGGAGGCTACCACCTGATCGATTGGAGATCATGGAAACTCCCAAGGATCGCCCGATCCAGCTTGGCAGCAGAAAGCCAGGCAGCCTCAGAAGCGGCAGATGCGCTGCTATACGCTTCCACCTTCTGGAAACTGATACGGCCACCATATCTTGCCCTAGAAGACAGCAACACACCAAAGGTGAAGCACTCACCACGGCTCATCATCGACGCCAAGGCTTTGTACGACCTACTGGTCAAACAAGATCTACAAACAGCATCACACAAACAGACAAGCAGACTAGCATTGAAGTGCTAGTGACACGAGACAAACTCTCCTGCACAGGAGCCACAGTCTCCTGGGTCTCAAGCGAACTACAGTTCGCAGACGGCATGACAAAACAAAGTGCAGCAAGCTTGCTAGCACAGAGATTACGAAGCCACGCAACATGCCTGAAGCCGGATCCCAACTTTACAGCGTCCAAGAAGAAAACCTTGGAAAGCCGGAAACAAAGCCAGATGCGCTACGCGCTCACCAAGCCATTGGCCCAAATGGCAATGATCGCCTCTCTAGCTACCACAACCACTGCGCACTCCACCAAACCTACAGACAACCTCCAAGACCACTTGATGGACAACCAGAACTTCATCTTCCTCACAGGTTTCACCCTGATGGTTGCGATGCTCGCCAAACTGATATGGCACCTCTGCACCCGCGTGACAAACAAGCCACAGCAGCCTCCCAAGACAGATGAGGATGCGCCGCTTGCAGAAGAACACACTGGCAGCGACAACAATCAGAACTACCAGAGCACCCAGACAACACATGTCGAGCCAGAGACACTCATCTCCCTCAGGAGACAGATAAAACAACTCGAGGCACATCACCTACAAGCACAGCTCCAGCAGGCCGAACAACGACTACAGGATCAACAAACCTGCTTCCAAAAGGACTTCCGACGACAACGGGAGAACTACGAGCTGCAAGCAGAGACCATGGGGGCTCGATACAAAGAAGAAGTTCGAGTCAGAGCCCGCAACCGCCTGAGGTTTGCAATAAATGCCAACATCTTCCACACCAACTATGGAAGTAGCTGGCGCGCAAGTCAGCAATGTGCGAGCCAGCGCACGGCAAATGTGACGCACACCCTTGTGCCTTGCAAGGTTTGTGCCCACGACCTCGGCCAAGACCTCTACGAAGAAGCAGAAGCCGAAGCCGCAGCTGCGACCTGACAACACCACCTTTGACCGGTGTGAATGTGATGCCATCACATGTTGTAGCAGCTGGTTGTTTTCCTCCCATTGGCTTGGGAGGGCTTGCGCAACCTGAGAGCCACATGGCCACGTGTCCGCGAAAAGTCCGTGGCTGCTTGAGAGACAGTTTTCACTTGTGATTGTGAACTTCCAGAGTCACTTTCCTGACGGTTGAGCTACCCAACCTCAAAGAAACGTTAAAAGCAGTGTCTCGTATGTGCCATTTTGCCAATGTTTGGTGGCCGGAAAAAACAACATGTATATTATGTACATAGTTCATGCCAAAACTGGCCGTTTTTGAATTGTGCCACCGTTTTGATATTTATATATATAATATATCTATTATATATATGTATATGTGTGTTTACTTATATATATATATATGTGTGTGTGTGTGTCCACTCCTGTTTCCAAGGACACTACCCTAACTCTTTCT